TGTCTGTAATTAAATGCTTATTACTGAATAAAATATTGTTTAAACTAACTAAATATCGTATGTTGGTTTAAATGGTTAATTGAAAGGTACGAATTTCATAAGAACTTCAGCAGATGATGTTTTACAGTTTTCTTTAAAAACATCTCATGAAATCCTGTCTAGTGCGGAACGTTTCTTTAATACTTCAAATGATTCGGTACCAATATTGTGATGTATGAAACGCGTCAATGATGTTGAGGATATAGCAGATACGTTTAGAAAACAAGTCGTGTGTGAAGAGGGTCAAAATATTAATGTCTGTATATACATTTTATGACACACATGCATGCGCCTCTCAACCACGTATTTACCTCGGAAATGTGTATACCTTTGTGTCTGATGGTCCAGTCTCTTACCTAAGGTGCCTCCACCTGTTAAACACATCCTTAGAAAAGCATTTCTTTTCGAAATACAGATCAAAACAATGTATTTTTGATTATATAGATCTAATGATAGCTATTAGTATATGTTTTTTAGATGGGTGTAATTCAACTCGCATGTTATCAATTCGTCATAAGAACGCTTTCATGAACAACACAAATATCCACTCGTAGATTACACTCTAAATCCTAAATGATTGGCTGACAAGGTGAACTTTGACCGTCATGGACCATTCATGCATTTTTGGGAAAAGAGATGCGGGATTTTTGTGACTTTTTGATTTTCATATGGATGTCTTTCAATTAATTGGTTTTTTTTTTAAAAGATAATAAGCCCTTCAATTATATTTGTTATGATTCGTAGTAGACAATATTTCCAAATATTTCTCTCAAAGTGTCAGCTTTGCATATTAATTACCGATATGTCATTACGGGTTCTGTTTTTACGCCCAAATTGATATCGTAAACGAAAGACACGTGGAATTATTCCGACGATGAATTGTCCCGTTCTCGATCTTTTTCTGGGGTAGATACAGTTCACACAAACTCCTTCGCTCTGCTTACACCTATTTCAGAAGTTACAAAAACGCCCGCAAAAGTTTCTGTTGCATGATAACTAACTCCAGTAAAAGAAAAAAAATATATACAACAACCTCTACTTTTGATCTTACCACGCATGTCATTAGATAACATCAATTTCAATGAAAATAAATAAACAAATAAATAACGTATCGATCGTTTTACCCTCATATCAACAACTTTCTACACCACAGAAATGCCAGCACATAAGAGTATTATGAGTTAATAAAACATTATTTTCCTATCTTGTACTGATTCTGTCATTAACTGTAGATATTTCATTTCAACATGAATGCAATTTCGAAATACCAAATTAATAAATTCAAACATTATTTTATGAGAATGAGACACATGGTTTCAAAGAAGAAGATTTGTTATAACATTAAACATATAGTATTGCTATATACAAGTAGAAAGTAAAATGGTTAGGCACGAGTTACATTTACACCATGACCAAGCGTCCCATATGAAGGTAGTTTATGCATAAGCCATATAAAACATATAAACCATATGCAGAAACACGCATCTCAAATATACGATATGAATAACTTATACAAGTACATGTATTTTCAAAGTAATGATGCATTTATCGTCTTTATATACTATATTAATTTATACTTCATAGATGTTAAGGAAATTAAAACAAGATTTATTGACGCAATCAAAACACATATCACTTTCAATCATTTCCAGTATGATTTTTCCGTAAATGTAACGATGGAAACGAATTGAACGAATAACTTATTCTATTACATATCACTGTAATATCCTTATTTTTTGCCACTATTAATTCCATAAGTTAAAATGCCACTATACCTTCCTAACTTATTGATGCCACTATTACTTCCCTAACATATTGGTGCCACTATAGCTTCCTAACTTATTGATGCCACTATTACTTCCCTAACATATTGGTGCCACTATACCTTCCTAACTTATTGATGCCACTATTACTTCTCTAACATATTGGTGCCACTATACCTTCCTAACTTATTGATGCCACTATTACTTCTCTAACGTATTGGTGCCACTATACCTTGCTAACTTATTGATGCCACTATTACTTCTCTAACGTATTAGTGCCACTATACCTTCCTAACTTATTGATGCCACTATTACTTCCCTAACGTATTTGTGCCACTATACCTTCCTAACTTATTGATGCCACTATTACTTCCCTAACATATTGGTGCCACTATTACTTCCTAACTTATTGATGCCACTATTACTTCCCTAACATATTGGTGCCACTCTACCTTCCTAACTTATTGATGCCACTATTACTTCCCTAACATATTGGTGCCACTATACCTTCCTAACTTATTGATGCCACTATACATTTCAGGCACGTACGAAATAAGCTTATTTTACTGGATTAAAAGCATATTGACGAAGATAATATAAATACATTTCTCGTTGATACGAAATGATTACATGAAAGGGACTTCAATCTACACAAACCATCTATACATGATTTTTAACCCTCATAATACACAAGTGTTTATCTACGATGTTTTCAGAATGACAGATTATGTAAATATCGCATACAAGCAACAGTTGTGTTTGTAACATTCTGCGTCATCAGCCAGGTAATGTTGGTAATGATAGTTGTTATCTCATAAACGAATCTGTGACGATAATGATAAAAGTCACAAGAGAAGAAGGTCGACATGACCAGGACATTGCAAAGTAGAGAAATGGTTAAGGTTGATTCTTGTAATAGAAAAAAAATCCATTAAGGGTATACAAAACTGGAAAAAACAAAATCCTATATGGCCATGTAGCTTTTATCTTAAACCCTTTTTTAGTTTTCCGAGGAAACTTCCGTAATTTCATGTCGTAGACGATATTTCTAACATACAAATGACAACGATCCTAACGTCTAAACGTTGTTTATACCTGTATCTACATGGGGCCTGTAGATTTTACCTTACGATGCCGTTGGTATGTTTACCTAAACTGATGTTGGTAAATTATAGAGTTTGTTTACCTGACGATGGCGTTAGTAAATGGTTGGAATTAAAATGCTTTCAATAGTGGCGCGGTTAAGGATGTAGTAGTTAAGGTTTTAGCATCACTGACGAGTCCTAGAAGGACGAAACAGCCGTATGAAGTAACATGACTGTTGAGTTTTAGAAGGACGAAACGGCTGTATGAAGTAACATTACTGTCGAGTCTTAGAAGGACGAAACAGCTGTATGGTGTAACATTACTGATGAGTCCTAGAGGGGCGAAACAGCTGTATGATGTAAAATCACTGGCTCCTTGTTGCCTGTCCCTTCGGTAACATTTTCCAGAATGAGAACACTTTATCTGCATAGATTCTAAACAGAGCGTCACACTTGACTTCAGATGATAAGTAAAGATAACAAGATGTATAGGTTAAGATTTATATACAATACCTTCCATATTATAAAATACATACGGAAGGTGTATATAAACTGGAGGTCATTGTATACCCATACATAAACAGATAGCAAATATTGCATAGTATTTAAAGTATTACCGTACGTAAAATTCAAAATTATCGTTAACATCTTAACGTCAACTGTAAAACTTAAGTCAACAAGACTTGGATATAAGAAACAAATCAAAACCTCATTTTATTATTATTATTTTTAATTTCATGTCGATGTACTTTGTAATTACGTATAACCTTATATGTCGTCATCAATTTATCAGTAATTATATGTAACCTTTAATATATTCATCAGTTCATCAGTCCAATTCGCTGAACGTTTTTCAATGGTTACCGTAAAAGCTGTTCCATTGTTAATATGTTTGACATTGTGGAATTGATTCTGAGTTCTTTCAATCCCTTGACACCTTAAAGATAGAATTACCCTTCATTGAATCTACTGTGACATGTAAACAATGTTGGGGAATGAAGTTTGTTGCTACCTAGGAACGGAAAAGAAACTGGGAAATTGAAAGCTGTCCTGTGTTGTAAATCAAGATTAGAAAAAGCAGCTGATATAGGAGATTTTATTGTATTGTGATCTTTATTTAAAGTTTCGAAGGATATGTTCAATGAAAATGGCCGGTAACTTTCTCAGTGAGCGGAACACCAGCACCATACGTAATGATATGGTATAGAAGTAACATGTATTCCTCTGAGCGTAATCAATATTGAGATGTAAATTGTCTATTCGAACGGTATTGTAAAATGTAACAGACCACTTGTTATATAGATACAAGGGATGATATAAAACCTTAATTTGATGTCTTTAAATATTTTCATACTATGTAGAAAAAATCCGTTCAGACTAGACAAAAGACAAGACAAGACATGAGAGACATTGTTTAATAATTAAAACTTGGGAACAGTGGTTGAATTAAACTCCAATATGCTATTCTAGGATTCGTCAGTGATGAAGTGTTGACATCTAGGAGACAACTGAAGAAAGTTCAATGTTGAATTTTTTCAATGTTGATTTTTTTTCAAAAAGAATCCAGTTCAAGTATATATTCTGAACGATGCTACTACATATCCATATATCTAAAGGCGCGAACACTGGGACTGAGAATTCCACCAGCAGGAGACTAGACCCCTACCACAAACTTAGTCTTCAGATATGCCAAAATAAAATATTCTTTAATATGTAATTTGTACAATGTATAACAAAAATATATAACATACATTGATTTTAGTTTCCATTAAAAAAATAAAATGACATTCAGTTATCTTTTATTTCTTTATTATCATTATTGCAATCAATATTTGTTTTTCTTTTTTCGTGGCTTTTGATTTCTTATCATCGAACAGAAACTTAGATGTGCTGTCAATTCGAAATAAGGAGGAAAATTAAAAAACGAAATTACAAATACAAAAATGATAACATTTCACTTTTTTCTAAGATATCCGTCCGTGGGAAACGATGAAAACATCTTCATATTAAAGGCGAAACAATACTATTTCATTAAAATGTCTTGCAAATAACATTAGTTTTTCTTTGTCAACATCAATGACATTTTCTAAATTTACGCAACACAAACAAAACATTAGAGTTTGTGTAGTGGTATTTCTGATAAAAAATCCTTCACCATTTCAGTGGCTTCCACAGCTGTTCCCCAGCTCAGTGTCACGCCATTGGCTCCATGACCGTAGTTATGAACAACCTGTAGTAATACAAGAAGATTGACATGTTTGAAGAGGATGGTAACCTTTCTTCTGTTTCCAATTCATTTACGAACCATATACACACATTTCCTTTTTCACAGTGTTTTCTCACAATACATTTACATGTATGTTATGTGTATACAGTACCTTCAACATTCCCTCAGGTAGCCGAACTATCTCCTTCTCAAGTCTGATTGGGGTCCGCATCGGTCTCAGGCCTACCCAATCCCCGATTACATTTGCGCCCTATAAAATGATATATGTAAAAAGATGCACATGTTCAATTTAATATAACTACATTTAGGCATGTCTAAGTTCATCATAAATAATCTTTACTTCACGCATCGTATGTTTTATTACTGATAAGGTACACAAAAGTTACTTCCCTTGGTCCAATATATCAGTTACCTCTGCCATCGTGGAAAGTGGGAGCAAGTATTTCATTTTAAACTTTCGAGGAGGATAAAATAAAGCAAATAAATGGGGCTATACAGATGTGTTGTACTCAGGCCTCAGATGTCTAATTAACGAATAAGGTTCCATCTGAAAGATACTGCGATTTAATTGTTTATGAATAAGTTCAGTTTATAATTGCAGTGTAAAATTCAGACTTTTATTATAACCATTAAACAGTGACGTAGAAAAATTCTTTCTCTAGATCAATGTGAAGGTCAGAGCACTAAATCTTTCCAATAGAAAGAATACCTTTGAATTTGTGAAAATTTTTTTATCTTGAATGTATGTGTAAATATCTTATGTTAATTCATTTGAGGCACGTGGTGGTTGTGCTAATTACCGGTAATTTTTTGGGGGAAAATGCGACAGGACGCTGTTCTAATTATGTAATAACAGTCAAGAATGCCAACCCATACAACAGTTTCGATTAATTGATAAGGTTCAGCATAACGATAATAAAAACTGTGACTGTGAGATGTCATAGGTTAAAACAAAGCATACACAAGGTATGTAAGAGAGTGGAAAGAACAAGGTAATTGAGAGATAAGATAAATATGGATTTCATTGACTTTTGAACAAACTTCGTCTCATATGATCGGTGTATGGTCCCTGTCAATATCAATTTTAAATTAGATACAATATAGCCACTTATGAATTAAACTTCATCGTGCAGCAGGTTCGTCCTTTTATGAGTCGTCACCGTTGCTATGGCTTAACATGTAAGGAGGCAACTGAGGAAAATCTAGAGTAGCTGAAATTAATGCTAAAATATAGATTGAAAGATGAATATACCTCCAAATTATATTAAAATGCTGGATAACGGATAGTTTCAAACAAAATTTCAAATACATCTGTATATTCTGGATTGTGCCACTATTTAGATCAATTAAAGTGATATGGGTGTTACATAAGGGTGTAAAGTTGTTCTATAACAGAGTGTACGTTTACCTTTAACGCTGGCCATAATTGGAGACACCTGTCCAGAATTCCTTGTCGAACGGAAGGATCTGGAGTCATGGACCAGTTGTCTTTATCCTTAACACCTCCGAGCACAGTATAGTCATCACTGTAACAACCAGTAGGTAAGACATACATGTAAATTCATAACTGTGATATTATTTTATAAATTTTGTTCACATCGGTATGTTTGTTTCCAGTTATGTAATACGGAGTCCATCTTTGACAAGCGGTGTTTTAAAGACTGCATATTGTATTTAGTTATCATATTTGACTAAGTTCAATTTCAGGACAGCCAAGAAAAAATGTTTCCTGAGGTTCTTTTAACTTTACTTTTACTTTTTACTTATTTTTGAATAAGAATGATTACAATATCTGTTCTAGTATTACATTTTTGTCACATTTTCATTTGTATTGAAGAACACATTGAGCAATGAACCTTATTATTCTATTTTGTGTAATTCTCTATACATTCTTATAACTTAGTAGGTTATTGACATTAAAATGAAAATGAAGATCATGAGGTACTTTCCAGCTCATTGTAGGTTCAGCTTGAATAGATCTACAAAATGATATGAAACCAGATCTTTTGTACGAAAATGAAAAATAATAAAACAATATTTAATGTGAGTTAATGTATCAAGGTAATTTTTTGTCATTTGCTATAGATCTGAAAACATAAGCTCAAGGTACAATAATTAAATGGCTGTATGAACTGTATTTGGACCATTTTCATAAATGGCATTGGCACGCTATTTTCTATGCGTATCAAATATATGAAAAGGAAATTTTTACCCAAACGTGATGAAACAGTATTGATGCATTCCGGAAATGCGCTTTTAACCAGATATCAGGAAAGGACGAAAGAAATACCTGTTGTTAAAAGGTGTGTACTTTGGATGATGTCCTTGTAATTTACCTCGGTAGTATGTGGGTCGACGCGTCTGTATCAATCCAGTCCCGCACCCAGGGAGCCTTTACCTGTAAAATGATCTCTACAATAGGATAATTTTCTTGTATTTTACAAAATGAAGAAACTCAATATCTTTTACCAAAATCAAGTTATCTCATAATTAGGCGTAGAAGTTCTCTTTTAAAATGTAATTCTTACCGATACATGTATAACGTAAAATATGTCTTTTATTTTGATAATCATGAACTTTTAACTGTAATTCCTAGGCCGAATCCGGCTGAACATAATTATGTTTGGCAATATTTTAATGTGTTTTATTGTTAACTAGGATGTCTGACAAAATGATAAAATATTATTGTATTGTATTGTTGCTAAAATAGAAAATATTGGATACATTTGTTCAAAACTTCAAGGCAAAGTAGAATCTGAACATACGGATTTGTTCCGAATACAGAACAATCGGCTGCATCTAGGTTACGATTTCACTATAAAAAGAATGGAGTGAAGTTTATCAAATTGCTTTGATGCCGTCTCTAACATGTAATGGAAGATTTTCTGTACAGCCAATTATCCCAATGATAATTTGTCTCCTCTTCGTTCCATATGGTAATATATCTAGTATCTATACCAAACACATACCAATTAGAACAGTACTTCATTCATTTAACATAGATTTTCAATGGGACATTTTTCTTAAAATCACCAGTAAATCATACTGTTTTAGTGTTGATCATATCAAACCCTCATATTTAATTGCTTTTTATAAGTAACTCATTATTTTTGTAGCGTAATAAAATATTCCTCAGCAGTAGTAATCTTATTAAGAAAGAAATATAACGATTGAACTTCCAACCTGTTTGAAAATAAAAACGCTTACCATGTACTACATCTGCAATGGATTTGAAGCATAACTAGTACCATTTTGTAAATATAATTCAGAAGTAAAATGTTTAAAGTTCTTCATCTTTGCATGCTACAGAAGTTCATTCGTTTTAATTAAGAAGAAAATGTTTGTCACTTAATTACTTAATTAGAATATATCCGTTACCTTTAAGAGTTGACCACGAACTGGATATATCAGCTTGTCTCCAAATAGCTGGCGACTGCCAAGACCGGAACAGTTGACCACCACGTCACAACGGCCATACAACTGTAAAAGTATACAAAGTGTCTTCAGAGCAAAAAGGAGGACCATACGAGTAAATTTCAACTGAATGTTGTGAATGTAATTTTATCTGATAGCTTTCCACACTATTCTTACGTTGCATATGAAAGCATGGTAATTACGTGTAATTAAACAAAGCGCACGTGTAAAAGAAAACTTATGGCGTCTTCTCTGATTTGAAATGAACGGATTAATAAAAAGTAGGTTTTACAAAATAAAAACGAATAAACATACTTTACTTAAGCTTTCTATTTTCCTTTTTTCTACCACACCACCATTCTCTGTGAACCTGGAAAAATGTTCACAGATGCATACTATAGAATGATGGCTATCATTGAAGCATGACTACAACTAACGTACGGCGACCTTTGAAACATTACTACAAATGACCCATTAAGATTAAGAAGACAAGTAAGATATATAAAAAACATTTTTGTCAGTCAAAATTCAGTGAAATTGGAATTACTTTGAGGAAAGAGTGGAATGGTTTGATTATTGATCCAAAAAAGCTATTTTGACTTGCTAATGTCTTTCCTTTGACAGATCTTCGTTAACGAATCTTAATCCTTGAAAGTCGAAATGAATGTTCACAACAAATGATTTCAGAGCTCTAGCCTTCAGATTATTCCAGTCGATTAATAAAGTTCAATTAAGTCTTCACCAAAAATGTGAGAGGGTGTAACTTACTGCGTCATCAGCCAGGATAGATATTTCCTCATGTTGGTAATGATAGTTGTTATCTCATATCCATATCTGCATTAAAAATAATTCATAAATAATTTAGAATCATGTCATAGAAACACATGTTGTTCCAGCGACATAAGGTTGTCACGAGCAATCATTCTCCGTGTATACAATTTATCACAGGAAATCATTTAAAATCACCATACACATGGTTATAGATGTCGCATGAAAGAAATGCAGTTTCATACAACAGTCAAGGAATGACACTAATTGTCAGTGGAGTGATGGGTGGAAAAGGTTTAATTTTTATGTGGATCGAAAACTAATATTGGAAAAGCAAAGTTTGCCAAATGTATTAATAGCTCAAGTTACCAGTGACTTCAATATATAAATATAAACTTAATCTGTTTTATAACAATTGCGAAACAAGTTTAAAGCTTATGTTAGTTGCTTTTGTAGACCTGTATGGAAGCAGGTCTTCCTGAGTGAAGAAACGGGGGTATCTGGGGAAAACCCACGTGGTAAGGCAGGTAACCCACATACTTTTTCACGTCCGTGCCGGGAATCGAACCCTTGGCACCATGGAAATGACGAGTGTGTTACCACTTCGCCACGCGACCACCCAATGACAACAGTGAAAACATGATAGACATGAAAGGTAGATAATCGAAAATTAAATGAAACACACACTATATAATACGAAGTATGGTAAAAAATATCTCACTAAATAATTATTCAATTTAATTGCTTCCGTACAGAACAAAAAATATTGAATTAAAGAGCAACGAAAAGAAAACATCGACCAAATTATGTATATAATTGCAAGTCATTATGTAATATTTTTCATGTCATGACAAAATAAAAATGATAACGTTTTATATTTCACCTACTTTGTTATAGTGTGCATATTATGTTAAGCTAAAACTGGATGTTTGCTATATTTGTTTTATTCAAGGTGCTTTTAAATGAGGAGTGTTATCTACAGACAGCCACGGTAAACGGATATTATTTGTTGCATTCAGGTGGTGTGGATATATGGTGGATGCGTTATCCTGAGCTGGTGTGAGTAGTAAATAACCGTGTTTGTTTACCTGAAGGTGGTGTGGGTGTCGGTATGGGTTTAGTTTAGTTGGTGTTGGTAAATGGTCGATTTGCTTTACTTGAGATGGTGCTGATCTGTATATAAGTATTTGTCTACCAGAAGGTGTTGTAGGTAAGTTTTTGACTTACTTAAATTTGGTGTCAACTCCTAGTCGCTTGAGTTCTTCCGATAGCATTTGTCGGAATGAGAACACAATATCTGCATACAAGGGTATCTGTAGATGTAATGCATCATATTTTTATAGCTTTGAACAATATAACATCACAAAACAGCTAATAGACATTCCTACAGAATTAACATACAACTTGAATATAGCTGTTCTTTTAGAGGGACTCTTTAGAGAAATGTGTATCGTACCTCGGTCTTAGTTGTATGAAACAGGAATCCATGTGACACTGTGTGTCCGGTACTACTGGCAAGGTCGGAAGTTGCCATCCGGGAGTAAGCTTTCCAAGACGTTTCACTCCATCGTCTGCAATAAATAATTCATCAGCAATGAAAATTAACATTTGTATAGCTTGATGGCCAAATTTTCACCCCTATATCGTTGAAATCAATGGTTTTCATAGCACCTCTAAAAACACAAATCATTAAAACATTACCACATAAGACAGAATTTATTTCAACTAAAATGTCGTCTTTTGAACGTTAAATGTTCAAACGTTGTGAATCGAATTACTTGAGTGTTTCAAAAGGTATCCCTGGGGTGTTTGTTGTGGTAGGCTCGAAAATTCCTCCCGCTCCATAGCTTGTGGTTTCGTCATAGAACTTGTCGGCCACCACCTTCACTGTCGCCCCTGGCAAGGCCCGCTGGATAGAGACCGCTGACGATAGCCCTACAACCCCGGCACCAATCACAATGATGTTTACCATTATGTACGGATTTTAAGCAGAGCGTTACTCTTGACTTATAAAGATCATAGGTGAAAAGATCATGCAAAGGTACATGTGCATATCAGCCTAAAGTACATAGATTTGATAACAATATTGAACAATCTCTGGTACATTATCGGCTGAGATAACGCCACCTCGCGGCGCTTATAGGCTTTAAATATCATGAACAAGCATGAAATCATGATAATGGCGAGGAAAACACTCATCAATACAGTTGCAAATATAAAAAGAAAGCAACATTGCAGGCAGGATTTAGAACTTGCATTTCCAGATATTCAAATAGATATATTTTATTGCTGTCATTTCACATCGAGATAATTCTGAAAATTCACAGGCTGAAAATCGGAATGAATATTCTTATATAAATATGTATTTGAAAATTCATGTTATTAGTCTCAGTTTAAGTTAAGTACTTTCGTCCAGAGAATGAGATGTCGCTTGACGACTCCCACCCGTAAAGGTGAACGTTTTATCACTTCACAAGTGAAATAAACTCGATTCCAATGGAGCAATTATGTCCGCTATGCAGCTTGTGATAAGCTAGGGAGCTTGTACAACACGTCACGCCACAAGTCGAGAAAATTATATCCAAGGAAAATTTATCTGTCTATTTAGACCATTTCCGCAGAGATATCTAGAATACCGATTTCCGAGAAAAAACTTCAATTTCTTCAAACTGTAACCAGGTGTTCATAAACAGTACTACTGTACTATAACTTCACATTCAAATCATCGCATGTCACGCCAGTAGTTGGAATGTGATTGGAATGTATGTATGCATGTACGTAGGTGTGTATGTGCGCGTGCCGCACGGACCACTCGTCCATGTCGCAATCACCGCCCTTTCCCAACTTCAATCTTACTCTCTCTCTCGATGGTTACACATGGAGAGAGACATATTCCAGTCACCATCACAAATTCATTACTCTGGAAGTTCCTGGTAAGTGTCTTGATTGTTTGTTTTAAATTTTATAATCTTAAATATAACAATCATTCATTATATTTTACCATAGTATGTCCATTATTTCATTGTATAAGCGATGTGTGAGTGATTAAGTATATTTATTATTTCATAGGTTTATCTGTCTACGACAGTGAAATAAACGTATTTTAAAACACTGAACTGCGATGTGAAGTCTTATGAACCTACGCTACAGTTGGGTCCCTACAGAGGTTGTTATTTATTTCAATGCCTCCGCTAGGAATCTAACCCGGAACCCCGGCTTACTAGTCCCACAGGGACACGGGAATAATACCACTGTTACACAGACATCGTTGTAACCTCTGGAAACTTGAGGATGAAAGGGGAGTGGGGAGGGGGTTGTTATGACACTCCGGTAAAACACTAGCTGCAATATACCAAGCTCGATCGATCAGACTAGTCAGCCAATAGTTTCGGGTTCGAATCCTGGTGGAGGAATTGAAATCAACAAGTATTTCCCTTACATTAGTATCACCTCGATGCGGATTGTGATTTGTGATCGGCTCAAAATGAGAACACGTTTCTACTAAGCTGTTTGATAATCGTGAGAGTTCCTTTTCCCTATTGTGAATTTTCCATTTCTGGATAGCAACACCCTACTTCCCTTACCTATCGTATCTGCATATCACAGCCGCAGAAGACGCTTATTCTTCTAGGTCACGTGATCTTATTCTCCTTGTTCTTTTCAGCAGGCTCCGTGTGCATCTTTCTTTTGTTCATGTTTTGCCCTAATTGGATTGTGAATTTCAGTTTGGATAATCATTTAAAAAGACTTGAATTTACACATTATATATTAATCATGTTGATTATACATATAATTCATCCAAAAGTATCACGCTGTTTAGAAATGACCTCTAGCGGTGCGTTCACGTGCCCTCCCTTTCAATACCTATATGGAACACTTACCTAATTTGATCAAAATCAGATATAAGCTTATCACATCCTACTCCTAAAAATAGTTTTGGAATACCTGTAAGCTTTCGCTTGTGATACAAACCACTGAAACACCTGGCTGAACAGTCGTTGCCTCATATCACAAACAAAACGCAATTGATGCTGCAGTTCGTCTAAGGTTAGAACATTATGACAGGGCATGCTACAGCATACGTCCTGTAGAAATGGGAGTATCTGATAATGATTAATATCACGAGTGCATTTTCCCAAATCTAACGAACTCAAAAAGGGGAGTGGAAAACGGTTAATTTAGTTTAAGTCAAATGATATTTCATTTACTTCCAACTGAAAATAATTCAAAGGAATATTTATGCGCTCTGGACGAATTATGGTATAGCGTTGTCTGTCCTTCCGTCGGTCCGTCGTAAACATTCATTTGTCCTCCTACAGTTTTCTACTGATCTTCTTCATACTTGATAGACTTAATTATTGACACTTGCTGTTTTCATATTGTTATCTTGAAAGAAGAGCTCCTCCCTCGGTTTACAAGCAATTGCTTTCAAACATGACAAATTAAATCACTATGACATGAAGTTATATCTTCCTGCCCGGCAGGTGGATTCTACGAGTTTTGCAGGAGCAAATGCCCTTTGGTTTTGCAGCATTTTGATTTTCTTAGATCACCTTCATCTTCTTTTTCATCATTTTTTCTGAACTTGATATCCTTTATAACATTTCATGAAACGTCGTTTTTCTTAAGCGTAATGAAATTTTACAATTTAGGAAAGAGGTACTATCCTTTTTTCATTATCGTTATCTTTATTTTATCAGATGGGCATCCATCTCTTTAAATCTTTCAATACTGAATGTCTCTATTGTGCCACACTGCGATACTCTTGTTAAATTAGGTATAAAATGTCTTCAGTAAATAGTGGCAGATGTTTTAATTGACGTCATTTATGGAAAAGAGTCCATTTGACATGGGAAAGAGTCGATAACACATGGCATAGAGTCATCTCAAAAAGTTGTCCAGTAAATGTATGTATTGTGAACAGTGTCACAATGGCTTCAAAAGTAGGCAAACTTCGGACCTAAATTCCACTTGTATATTATACCTCTACCACAAACTTGCCATAATAAGTTGGGAATAGCTGTTTGATTGCACGATAAGTGTGACCCACAGAGATGTATGATAAAACAATAAAATTTCAGAAAGCCTTAAGATATACAAAATCAAATAAAAGAGAAAACGGACAGCATTTATACATACATCGTTGTAAGTTTCAATTTGTAGCATATAGAAAGCACACGTATATTTTTGTTTATTCATTAACTTTGTATCATTATCATCTGTTTTGTCGTTGAAACGAAATTTCCATTTAGTATAAACTCGAAACCGAAATTTCGTATTAATCAAACGAAATATGAAACATGGATTTATGAAAAATAGAATGTATTGTCATAAAATCGTGTGATAAAATTCATGCAAAATGGAAATTCATTTATATTTCATACATGTAACAAAAAAGTCAGTCAAAATCAATAACAATAAACATTTTTAATTTAAAGAATACAAACAAAATATTAGAGTTTAGGAGACGGAATAGTAGATATAAGATCCTTCACCATGTCAGTGGCTTCCACAGCAGTTCCCCAACTTAGAGCTATTCCATTCGATCCATGACCGTAGTTATGAACAACCTGTAGTAATGTAAGTAGGATATATAATAAGGTATATCCTACTACTGTTCCTACTACATATACGCACCAGGTATAAATGCTTTACGTGAATCTTATGTATATTAACAATACTTATATGTGTATCATCGGTTTGTATAATTTTGTACATATACCTTCAACATTCCCTCAGGTAGTCGAACGACCTCCTTCTCAAGTCTTACAGGGTTCCTCATCGGTCTCAGGCCGACCCAATCCCCAATTACCTTTGCGCCCTATAAAGGTGAAAAAGAATAAAGAACACTTTAATAGGCGATGACAATATGACGAGTTTTCATATATTGAAAAAAACCCAACAAAAACCAAAAAGCATTACAGACACAAGATCGTGTAAACAACTTGGTAATTGAAATTGATTAATTTTCAAATGTTTCTGCGAAAGCTGAATACACACTTGTACAATATACATATCAGCAGATGTATTATCTTATTCACTACAAAATATCACAGCAATAATTAATTAATCTTCCTCTTAAAATTATTCGTCCTTCTAAGAGTCAAAGCCTAGAGTATCGTAACACAGCTTTAGAGGTGCACTACCACAAAAAAAAAAAAAAACAAAACAAAACAAAACAAAAACAAAAAACAAAAAAAATCATAATTTTCGTTACTGGAAGAATTCAACATACTGTCAATTACATGTGTTTATTCCAAATCGTGCCGCCACTATCCAGATGAATCAAAACATGGCCTGCAGGTGACAGCAATGCATTAATTACACCGATAACTTTTACCATCTGCAACGACGCTATACCTTTAACGCTGGCCACACTTGGAGACACTTGTCCATAATATCCTGTCTAACGGAAGAATCTGGAGTCATGGACCAGTTGTCTTTATCCTTAACACCTCCGATCACCGTAAAGTCATCGCTATAATAAGGAATGGAAAGGAACTACTCGTGATCATAATTATTCAAATAGGAATTATTGCCCTGTGTTATTTTTCATTTTCATACTTAAATATTTTGTCCTATTCGTCTCTGACATCCCTTGTTTCAAACTTGTGTCTTAGTGATGGTCATTCACATAAAGGTGTCAGACATTGATGAAACAAGCATAATTTGTAACAGAAAGTACACGTATCGTGATTGAACAGTTAACAGTGTGTGTCATGTAAATCAAGGTTGAACAATGCTCAAAATAGCAGATTAAAAGATAGTAAAGCCATACATCATACACTTATTCAAAGAGTTAACAGTTTTCATGCCCGAATCATAACTTTGAGAATAACCGCTGTCCAGAGCTATTTTATCATCCATCTCCTCTATTTCTTTTTGCAAATGCGGACTGTGCTCGTAAATTACAACTTGACTTTGCATGTTCGTATTTAAACCCGATGGGATTAATCCGTTTACTTCAAACATTTTGTAATTAAAACTCTGGGTGGACTAGACAGTTAATGACGAACAAGACATCATAAGGTTTAGGATCTACATGAGAGCAAATGTTACATCAAATCTGGCATTGGAACAGGAAATTAAAAAAATTAATCAAAATTTAATTCCTGAAGAATTTCATAAATAAGATGATAAATGGAAAGAAATTCGCCGTCATATGCGTACACTGCCTAAATTTCAGGATTAAAAAAAAAAACAAAAAACGAAACATTCTGATCTGATCATACTGGTTTCAGATGTATTTTTCTGTTTGTTGTGACGTTGAAGTTCCATCATGAAATTACCATGTCTGAATGGAAACTATTTAATCGAATAATGAGTTTGAAAACATTCAGCATAGGAGAGATCTGATTCAATATTTAAAACAAAAATATTCATCCTTGCTTAACGTGACAATTACTATTAGAATAATGCACCTACAATAAGATGACAATGGAAACATTCAAAATAGAATCAAAATTTATTTCCTGTCGTTTTGACAAAAACGGATAACAAATAATGAATAAATAAGAAAAAAAAAATAAAAATACGCTGAAATTCAAAATTGTGAAGATAAGCAATTTTAATGAAACAGTGATCAATGTGAGGTAAGCGTATTTTTTGTCATCCATTGTAAACATGTACATAATAACACATGAAATCCTATACTGTTTCCAATAATGTAGTGTTACGTGCACTAATACACTCTGTTGCAGACATAATTACACTTGGTATTGGCACCATATTTCATAGAAGTTCTGTTGTTTTATTTATACATACAAACACTTAACCCAAGCGGGACAAGTTATATCAGAACCTAGAAAGCACGTGTAGAAATGAGAATACATTTGAAGATTTTAATTGTGTGATTCGAAGAACGACCATGTTATTTACCTTGGTAATATATGTGCCATTGTATCTGTATAGATCCAGTCCCTTACCCAGGGAGCCTCCACCTGAAAAAATAATCATAAAAAGTAAAAATTTAGGCAACACCTGTTAAACACGCCGAAGAGTTCAACAGCGGGATATATATTTAGAAATATCTATTAGCATGTACATGTATATCAATTACCATTTCAATAAAGAAAGAATTAACATTAAACATTTTGAAGAAATGAAAGAATAAAGGCTTTAAACTCTTGATGATAATTAACTGTCTATTAACATCAGCTGCTACAGAAAGTAGAATTTAAGTGCAGCCAATTATCATCCCATTGATAGCGATAATAGGGTTAATCTTCAAATATCCGAGTTTGATCCGTTAGTAATCTTACGGTGTTTGAAAGGTGAATAGAACTTTTTTTTATAGATTTAAAATAAATGTTTAACGAAATTCATTAATTTTGGCGGCCCAATAGGTTAACACATTGTAATTCAGTAGAGAATTCTAGTTGTTGCATATCTTGATAAGCTGACCATGAACTGGGTATATCAGCTGATCCCCAAATAACTGGCGACTGCCAAGACCAGAACAGTTGACCACCACGTCACAGTGACCATACAACTGAAAATCAAAACCAAGGGTAGTTAGAGAGGACAATGGTGTCTGATTGTATTGTTGTCCGCAGGATCTAACAACATATCCACGTTTCGTCACATTTAATCATGGGAATGCCCTGTGTATAAACAAACTTCTTAAATACACAAAGCAATTATGGCATCCTTTTCTTATTTAAAATACTATTATTTAACAACACGTGTTCATATAACATAAACAAACTCTACAATCTTACTTCACTCAAACTTCCTATTTTCCTTTTCTCTACTACACCACCATTCTCTGTGAATCTGCAAAAAAAAAAATGTACATAGATTTACATATTGATACCAATGAACCATTACTGAAATAATTCACAATTACTTTAAAACAAGAGGTCAAAAGCGATCGTGAATTATTGATATGTTAAACGTTAATCATTTACTACATATATATAACAAGACTATGACAATATTAAATAGTTTTCTGTGTTCAACAGACCACAAACGAGGCTATAAGAATATTGAAACTCACTCTATTCCCTGTAGGAAATCAGTTAATAGAGAATTCATATGTGCATTTCTTTGTGCAAACCCTGCATATCATTTCTTTATTCAATTTTAAACAATGGTATGGTGCAGAACACAAAAAATGGTATGCACATTTGCTTGGCTTTCTCTTAAAAATACCCATTTTTAAAAGTAACATTCATTAAGACTTTGGGCAATGTTGATTCCCCTCAATCACCTCCTAAGTTTCAAAAGTAACATCCCTAGCATCAAAGAAGGTCGAAGCAGCTGTATGATGATATGCAGTTCATTTTAGTTCTATACTTTGTCTAATTCTCAATTATAAAAGGTGCTAATTGCTAATTTTAGTGTCTTTTGTACAATCTTATTGTAATGTAACTTGTGTTAAAGTTACCTTGTAGCTTACAGTACAAACGGGCAACAACCAATGATTTAATTGCATTAACTTCTAATTGCTCACCTTCTCAGTGGTCATGTTCTTAATAATGTAGTTTCAATTATTTTAAAATATGCATATATTGTCCCTCGGAAACTCCCTGAGTAGACGTAGTATGTTACATAATTTTTTACTGAATAAAATTCACTTCAGAAAATATTTTGAAAAGAAGGTAAAACCCTCGGAATCATTCCTGATTTGCTCTGGGTCTTCAGTTGGCAAACCATTTTGAAAGTTCTTATTTTCACTTTGAGTAATGATTCATTGGTCCGAGACGCAAAATATTTACTTTGAATGAGACAATACCTTTCATACACATGACCATTACATATGGGGAATCATGGACTTGATAATATCATCATGTTTTATATAGCGCATAAAGGGACTACTTGAAAGGCGATATGAACGTTTCCTTTTGCATACAATAAATCAGTTCATCATTGATTCCTTCAGAATTCTTTCTATCAATTGATACAATGAAATCACGTCTTCGCGAAATATTGAGGAAGGATGTGACTTACTGTGTCATCAGCCAGGACAGATATTTCCTCATGTTGGTAATGATAGTTGTTATCTCATATCCATATCTGTAATAAAAATTATAAACATCACAAATATTTGGAAGTCATTTCACTACAGTACATGTTGCTAAAGTGTATACACATCAGAACAAAGTTTCTCCTTGTACACGTTTGACCACAAGATATCTCAACATTGATCAATATTCTATTTCCTTGTGTGATATGAAGCTGGACGTGTTTGACGTATTTTGTCTGTTGATTCCATTGTTATGTTCATTCGTGACATTACTTACTCAGATTGACCAAGGTCCTCGATGAAGCAGAAGACGCTTACTCCTTCGGGACATCTGGTCTTATTCTCCTTGTACTTATTTTCAAGTGTCTTCGTGTAAATCTTTCTTTTTTCATATCTTTATTTTATAGTTTTATTGACTTTGAGACATTAGTTGATATGTTTATATTTTCGTGTTGTTTATTGTCCTTTGAGGACAAGTGTCGCATAAAAGGAACAGAATGGACAAAAACAGTCCACAAATGGTATCCTTGTGATCAAGGGTGATCAAAAGCACAGTAGGGTGGAGTAATAGTCTGAAAAATTTATTCTAGTCCATGTGATTAGAAATAAAATATTGAATGAATCGAGCTGGCAAAAGAAATCACTATGTCAGGTTACGAGTGCATACGATGAAAAAATGTTATATAGATTTGACGATGGGCATATATTCGAACTTTTTTCAGATCGAATTTTAGGAAACTTGATAAGGAGAGAGGATTTTTGAATATCTTCTTTTTGACTATCCGTAGAATATCTAACGTATTTCACAGACTATTTTTCATTAGTATCTAGCGCAAGTAAAAAGACTGAAATACTCCATCAATGTAAATCTTCAGAGGGAAACCATTGGTTGTAAATCGTGGGCAGTCCATGTGGCAATGTTATTTTTCCAAATGAGAACACGTAAACAACAGAACCAACAGTTATATGAAACATAGGCATAAGTTGAGGATGCAGGGATGTTGCTTTTCAAAAGCTGCAGTAGGAGAATTGAAATCATCACGCTTATCACACAGCTTGGTAAAAAACTGCCCATGTAGATTTCGTTGTACGAAAATATCAAGACGTTTTTATCACAAGGTCGGCTTCATTATAGTTCACAGCCAAATATGTGTACATCGCCGTTCATTTTTTTGGAAATAAAGTTTTATTAGCAAGGAAACGAGGGCATTCCTTCAGTTTTGAATGGAGTATGGTAGAAATTTTTGTTTCGAAGATGGTATTAAAAATTGGATAAAAGGTCTTCGGAGTTTTTTTTAAAATTACACATTACACTTTGTGAGTGAGAAGTATCACACTAAGACCCTAATTTGATAGTATTAAGAATGGTAGAAAGAAAGTTTGGCAGATGTTTGATTGAGCAAATAGACGAGTCAGTAAAAAGTTGTTCAAATGGATTCCTATGAAGTTAAGGAATCCATTATAAACAGGGGAGGTCCGTATCGTTATAATTAATTGGAAATCTGAATAATCGTAATACTGATCCATAATCAACCATTATTTGTTCTTTGGAAATTTTGGATACTGTAAAGGTAAGCTTTCCTCCTAAATCGAGCAAGCCAAGTTATTTTATATGTCAAACAAAGAAGAACAATGTGTGTAAATTGTATTCGTTTGTTTATCTATCTACTGTGAGTTAATGTGAGTGCTTGCTCAACTAAACTGGCGTGCGAAAATGATGTGTGATCGCCTACTCTAGCTGGTTGGAAATTTGTTGACTTACTTAAATCTGGTGTCAACTCCAAGTCGGGTGAGTTCCTCGGTTAACATTTCTCGGAACGAGAACACTATATTTGCATACAAGGGTATCTGCAGACAGAATGCATTATAACGTTACGATAATAGGGAGTTATCATGTGTGGTTATCGACTTCATGGGCTGTTTGTATATAATGACCACTGAATATATATACTGTGTATAGATTTTCCATTTAGTTTGTACCTCAGTCTTGGTTGTATGAAACAGGTATCCATGTGAGACTGTGTGCCCAGTGGTACTGGCAAGGTCGGTGGTTGCCATCCGGGAGTAAGCTTTCCAAGACGTCTCACTCCATCGCCTGCAAGAAATCATTATCGGTGAAAATTAACTTCTTTGATGGGAAAATCATCATCTTTTATATTACAATATCCACAATGATAAATACCCTCTACGGAAGACACAATGTTTTACAGCATTTCTCAAGACATGGACATGTCTCATAAAACAAATGAGATGAATTTACATTTTTTCTACATCTATCTACATTTTACATACAGTGAATAGCTGTAATACTTTAAAACATTTTCAGAAAAAACGATGGAGTATCTACATAATGCAATTTCTGCTATTGAAGTATGAACTGACAGTTTATCACAACATTAACACACATTGCAGAAATCATTTCTACTAACATTGTCTAAATAGAAAAGCTAAATTATCAAGTATTGTGACAGATTACTTGAGTGTTTCGAAAGGTACTCCGGGAATGTTTTTTAACGTAGGTAGGAAAATTCCTCCCGCTCCAATGCTTGTTGTTTCGTCATAGAACTTGTCGGCCACCACCTTCACTGTCGCCCCTGGAAAGGCCCGCTGGATAGAGACCGCTGACGATAGTCCTACCACTCCGGCACCAATCACAGTTATATGTACCATTCTGTACGTATTCTAAACAGAGCGTTACACTTGACTTAAAACGACATTGATGAAACTATCATGTGTGGGTACATATTCACGGGACATCAATTTGATAACAGTATTGCACAATCTAAGGATGTATTATCAGCGTCGTACAGATGTCACAGCTGAGGCTATCGCTTACATTCAATGACAAACAGGTGTGATCTGGCGTAAAATATACAGCATATAACATAGTCCTTACTGTCATTTGTGTATTGTATTTTTTTAAAATTTGAATATTCATGGAATCTTGGAAAGGTCAAGGAAAATAACCAAACCGGTATAATATGATAAACAAAACCAATATTGCAGACCGGATTTTGAACTTGCACGTCGATGTTTTAAAGTAGTTATTAATTTTTCTGTTGCTTCACTTCGAGATAATTCGAAACATGATTGAATGTTATTCACAAACTTTAAAATAGAGTGAATGTTAATAATGGTGTTATACTCCATTGATATTTAAGATTGTTTCGCTATTGTGAATAATATCAATGATGCAATATCATTGATGTGGCCAATGATTGTAGCAGTTAAAAAAGTACTATTCCAGTGCCAAATTAACTACGTAAACATAAGACCCATCTCACGCTTCAACCCGGGCCAACAAGAGTGATATATATTTCAAATTTATATTTACATATATATTTATTTACAAGTTCGCCTTACTTGTCTCGGGTATAGGGAATTTCACCGTTCACACGTGGTAGTGCGTCCGTCGCGTCCTTCCTGATAACGAGAGGTCGCTATTACGACATGATGAACCTAAGTTAAACGCTGTATCACTACACAAGTGATATCGGCTGCTGAATCTATACAAAATCATATTCTTTCTCACATGGGTCAGTTTATGTCCGATAGACACAGGTCAGCAAAAGTTATGTGCTGAGTCACACCAATTCGCAACGAAAATGTTCGAGGATCAACAAAATCTGAATAAGTTGTAGTTATCCAATGGTGAAAACAGAATCCGTATTGCAGGAAGACAAAATAGCAGTATCGAATTAATTAACGACACAGAGAAGCTTGCAATACCAGGTAGTACTTCTGAAGTCACCTTGAAGGTCCCTTAGCAGCTGATTCGGACGATGAGAAAATATAGGTAGTGCTATACCTACAGCTAATACAAAAGCTGCCTGTTACAAAAGCTAATACCTGACATGAGAAGGGTCTGTCAGAACAATTAACAAGTGGTGTTATCAAGGGGAGAGATATCAGGCATGTGTTTTGCGTGCGGTAAACCCAACCATTTGACATTTACGAATGGTTTGTCTCGTTATCTACAAGACATCTTCAGGGACGACTGTCGGGTGGAAAGGAATGTTTTGTAATGAACTGCATACTTGTACTGGATTGCATACGCGTACTAAGGCTGTATGATAACCAGGCGATTTGTACAAAAAGTGAGTTTTATGTTTCTGTGTAAAAAAAGACCTCAAATTATTTATTATTGTTATTTACCTGCTGGGTAGATTAAGGAGGAGATTCGATCATTGCGGACAGCAAGGTACATGTGATATAGTTCTGTTTATTATAGAAATGATAAATCCCGAGTTTGTCCAGTCAGACGTAAAAACACTTTTGTGTTTGAAACGTGCATGTTTCTAAAGTGACGTTCAGCTCAGATTTCAATCAACGTCATGTTTACAAAGTTTAAAGGTCATTTCGTTTTTCATGGGCCACAATTTCGGCTTTTTTAAGATTGTGTACCGGGGTTTTAAATCTGAGCTGATGTGAAATTTGAGTAAATCAACAAATACTAATTCTGATACTGCATAATCTCGCACATGTCCTGAAAGGCTGTTTTGACACTTAATGAGCCAATATAGGGGCTCGATTGTTGATTCTGTGGAAAAGTGACTGTCAGACTAACTGAAATTTGACAAGTTTACGATGTTTGAAAAAGTCTGATGGCTGTTTTAAGGCATGGCATACAGTGAGTCATAACATGTCAGATAAGACAGACATAGTTTGGGTTGTTGACATCAAGCTAAATCTGCATACGTTGGAGTTTAAATACGGAAATGCAAACGTAGTTCAGGCATGTTTGAAGTAGGATTTTTGTTTATCTATACTTAAGTAGGGAGAAGAGAAGCGATATCAACACTTTAAAAGATAAATGAGATAATCGTAGAGTACTGTACAATATAACAGATAATACGTAGTCAAGGTAAAGCCCTTATTTCGTGCATTAATTAGCATATCCCCCCTCCATTCACAGTTGTATAAAGGATGAAAAATGCGTTGCGATGAAAAATGACCCAATTACAAGGTTTTCTTGCCTCAGCCTAGGTTTGTGACAGCGGATGGAAGGAACCTCCTTTCGTATCTAGGGCATCATCACGTCAACGATGCGAATCTTAAGACTACAAAACATACAAATGAATGCCAACAGGGAAGGCGACATATAACATTTTACCCTTGTCTCATGCAACGACAGAGTTACAAACGCTCGGCGAACATCGTGTTTACTAACTTCATTATTTTTCATCTTAGTTCGAGATCGACTAATCAAATCCCGTCAGTGGTTGAAAAATCTATGTGTAACCTTGACAATTGTCATCCCAGTCGAACTCTAAGGTAATTGTTTGTATTAATATCAGTTTTAATGTAAGCAAACTTACCTCCCAGCGGATAGCCAACAATCCTAACTCCAACGGTATGGTTGGTTAAGCAGGAAGTTTTAATATCCGGGCAGACAACACTAAACAAGAAAATCCTAAATACGTTGAAATTCTTAAACAATACACAAGATGTTTGATAAAGGGATTTTATATCTATTTTTCTTCAATTGCTGGAATTGCAACATTATAATGTATAGAGACTCAGAAACAGTTGATATTATTTGGCTTACCACCACTGACTTCCAGGAAACAATGTCATTAGTTAGCAAGGGGCCCAAAGGACCTAAATCACTTACCAGTAATTAGCGATATATCAGCTGGAGCCGAGTCTGGCCTAGACTGCATGATCCTACATTTAAATTTGCTCTCTTATCTGGAAGCCCTTATTGAAACTATTTCAGCAGTATTGGCGACTCATGTTTCCGAATTAATAGCTTTCAAACATTAACATATTATTATCGTTATTACAATCTGAACGGCCTTTCAACACATAAAAGGTCATTAGGGCCAACAAACATTAACATATTAGTTTTCATATCAGCATTCTCATGATTGTGTTTCATCCTTTCGACTAGAACGTCCAAGTCTATCTACGGTAATCTGTTTTATTACAAAACGATAATCCGTCAACTACAAAAACTCGTACTCAATGTAATTATAACGCATGGTAACATTTATTACTTCTTACTTCCTATTAAATGCCCCCGAGCTAAGTTTATCTGTATTGTAATATCTAGATACTGATTTGGATGTTGTCAGGTGACGAATGGAGCTAGCTAGCAACTGTTACGTACATTTGTACGGTGACTATATCAATGTTATAAAGCGATACTAAATTAGACTACAAGATCAATTGATAGGCACTGCTTGTGGACTTTCAGTCCTCAAGGTTTGCCATAGCCTGCATGCCAAGTTTTAATTCATTCAAATAGTGGCACGGTTCAGAATATACACATGTACTTGACCCTATTCTAAAATTGTCGGATACATGAAAATTACAAAATTAATTTAATTATGGGGCTCATGCGCCTTCCCGTCCAAATTTTGACTTTTCCTTTGTCTATATTTCTCAGTCTTACTGTGAAGTTTGATCAAAAAGTACTATTCATCTTAGTGTCTTTTTCTACAATCTTTACCAGTCTTCATGTGTCCTCGTATTCAAATAATCAATCGCAATTAATATCATGATTATAAATTGCTCGATGTTATCATACTTCTACATTAGGTTAATATAATAATATAATATATATAATTATTTGCAGTTATTCTACAACCTTCAATGTATTTCAGTTTTGAAGAATTCCTTGCTACATGGAGAACACATTGAGTGAAGAGAGTTTATCGATGCACATCGAAGATTAACAGGATCACACCGAGTAAAATTATATCAATATAATATAAATGTAGTCTTATTTGCGTTGTGTTGGTATCAGATTGAAGGTTGAACAAACAAAACAAACACAACAACACCTCATTGGTTGACTATTTTAATAAAATAAAACATAAAATTGACATGAAATAAACTTTACCATAAAAGATAACTGAAAATACAATAGAATATTTTGTAGTCTTGAACAAATATTTGTTCTATTTAATACAAGTAAAGTTGCACTTCATGACCTTGACTGCCCCATGGTCACATTACTCTATATCAACACACTTGTTTGGAAGAAGCAAACTATTATACAATTAATAGTGTAAAATACCGTCACTTTGATATACCAATATCACCGACGTAATAGCTTGAGGAGATTCGCTCACAGCAATACAAAATTTCTTAACAAGCAGATGTTATGCAAAAAACACAGTACTAAAATAATTCTTTCCCTATAAATCGCACTATTAAAATAAAATACTAAAACCATGGCGAAAAAGTGTTTCTAAGCGTGAACGATTATTATAGACATTTCAATAATGAAAGACAAACTTGTCATAATCGTAAACAAATGGTTTATAAAATAAGGTTTTGTAGATGAACATGCAATATATATTCTGCAACTAACAAAAACAAACAAACGTATAAACACTATTTACCGAAAAAACATTAAACCATATTGACTTGTGTTTAGTTCATCTTTAATACCGGTAATAATATCACATTTTATTTGTTGGAAACTCATAACCAAAATATCTACTTACACTGTTTGTTGCAAAGTGATACATCAAACTGATACTTCACAGAAGTGAAAAATAATACTTCTTCTTCGTCTTTCGGTCAACGACGACAACACAAAGCTAATGTGCTATTGCAAATGTGTATGCACGGTATTGTACGTACATTTTCTTCATTGTGTCATTGCCATTTGATGGCCAAGAGTGAGTTTCCCAAACAAACACAGTGTTTAAGAATTTTTGTTTTCAAACATTTTCATATTATTTCAGCATAATTTCCTGACTTTTTAATTACAAATGATACATGTAAAATATCTATTTTTCACAGAAGGAAAAAATATTTTGATATTTTCACTTATGCACTTCTCAACTCTGTTGACTGAGGTAGACCTGTTAATGATCTCGTATAGAACAATAGAATAGCGTTTGTTGATGGTACTTCTTGTACACAATGAAAGTGAAAAGTTTGCGTTAGACACAGTGATCATTTCCCACAAACGTTTTCCGTGTACACCCATGTTCTTCTTATGAGAGTGAAAAGGTTGGCATTTGACACAGTGAACATTTCCAACAAACGTTATATGTCAATTATACGAACGATAATTTTCAGAGTTTAGCATGGAGAGATCCGTACACCATTTCCTTAACTAGTCTAGCAGCATCCTTACCGGTACCCCAGCTTAATGTTATACCGTGAGCACCATGGCCATAGTTGTGGACAACCTGAAATATAAACCAAGAATGCCTATTTACTGAAACAGTGCAATAAATCAAACAATATAAAAATATAGTTCCTTTTTTTACTCCATGGTACGATACATGAATAAAAAACTATAAAAAAAAAAACATGCACGCTTCTGAATTAACATGATATTACAGGTAACACTTAAGACACTGTTACCACCCTATTTAGTTATGACGTCACTCTAATATTGTTAAACCGCTCTTATAACTTTTTAAAATCTGGTAATGTTTCAGCTGATGTTCACAATCGTCAAATCATTTATTATATCTTTGAATCTGTATGTATATGCGTATATTTGAAGAATATTTAACAATTTGAACTTTCCTCCTGAAATAATAATCCAGATAAGTTTAAATGATATTTTTAAACCCCGACAAAAAAAACGTTGACATAATTATTCAGTAATAAACGATTGATTAAATTATTGTTTTCTAAATGATAATGTTATACCAAGTCTGAAAGATTCTGCTCTAAGGTCTTATCCTATTAAAGTGAAATACATGTAATGGCCGTCTGATTTTGATATGAACAATATCAATGCGAGACTTACCTTCAGGACACCGCCAGGTGACCGTATAGATTCTTTCTCTAACCTGAGTGGACTTCGTGAAGGTCTCAATCCTACCCACTCACCAATGATTTTTCCACCCTGCAAAACAATCTCAGGATATTTACTTTCATATATGAAAAAACAACGCTCTCTACCGAAACCATTGACTTATATTTGATAATATATGTCACTTTGTTAAGATGGAAGTTTCATATGAAATTTGATTCCATTTCCTCATTTTAATGTCTGTTTTCAACATATTTTGACTCATTTGATACATTAATATAGAAACGCAGAGAGTTCATGTAAAGTAAAATAAATTATTTGAACCTGACGAGAAGGAAAGTGTAAATTATTTGTCAGAGCACTTTTCAATATCCGTGTCTTGGATGTGTTTGAACAGACGTCATAATCAAATACTGCTGCCTAAAGCCACATTAGTCGCCACTCTCGATCATCACATGGATACGATAAGTAAATTGTTTAACCTGACACAAACATGCATGTATCTAGAACATAATTTTGAATTTAAACATGGAGGACTTGTAGATAATCCAAATGCAAATCCACAAATTAGCTAGTAATATATAAACCTAATATAAATACCTGATGGTATAATTGCAGATATTGCCTACCTTAAGCGGTGGCCACATTTCATAGCACCTCTCCAGGATCCCTTTTCTGTCTTCTGGATCTACTGCGAGATCAGACCTCCCGTCTTGCCTAACGCCTCCTATCGCCACGAACTCAGCACTGACAAACATGCGATAAAAATGGTACAGGTAACAGGTTCTAGAACACGGATATCTTTTTAATCGATGTAACCTTTAATTTTAAGTAATCAATTATGACTGTATCTGAACTCTTAATTGTTACTACAGTATCATAATAGAATATTAATTAAGCTGACAAGAACGAACACGATTACATTAAAATATACATTTGAATGTAAAGTAAAAAATGATGATACTCTTCTTGTGTCTTATAATACAAGGTAATGTTGACAGAGTATAACTTACTTTGGTAAAATGTATGCACCATGGTCTGTATATATCCAGAAGTTAATCCAAGGCGCATCTAACTGTAATGTAAGTGGGTATGACTCATTTAATACACGTAGTTTGTACATATCTGATTGTAAAACTTTAAATTCGACCGATTTTATTTGTGATACATAATTTCATATTGTACACTGTTAAAGCAAAGCCATTAGTTGTGATATAGAAAATATACTTTTAATTTTAGGACGTTGTATGTAATTCACGATATTATTCTTTAATGCCGTGACATTTGTCAAAGGTATGTCGATCTTTTTTTCTATATTGTTTACAGAACCAATGCATATCTTGCCTTGTCATGACCATACTCATTTAGAATATGACATATATGGCAATACATTTTTATTTCATCAATAGCGAGACATTTAACGGAATGATATTGATATGTAAGATACCTTCTGGAATATCTATCATAACGTTACACTGTATTTACAGTGACATCGAAAGCATAACAAAGTATTGGTAATTACTTACTCGGATAAGCTGCCCACGCACTGGGTGTATTTTTTCATCCTTTACTAGCTCCTGACTACCTAGTCCGGTACAGTTCACAACGACAGCATATGGTCCGCCTTGGAACTGAAATTACAAAAATCAAGAAATACCATACTATGACAGAAAAGTGTAGACAATGTAATAACACTAATCTACACTTTAAGTAAAGTCATTAGTGAAACTCATATACAAATAACAATACACAAATAATAACATACATTTATATAGTGCGCTATCTAATGAACAGAGTTGATATAACGCACTTTCCATTAAAAATATAATAATCACTCTTCTGCTATACAATGTACAGAAATGCTGATACAAATAAGAGATATAAATCTGCATTTTGCATGGAGCACATATCTAAAAGCAATCAGACAATCTTAAGTACAAACCTCTTTCAGATCGTTGACCTTCCTCTTAAGTGTCTTCCCACCATGACTTACAAACCTTGAACGAAAAAGATAAAACCGATTTTGAATTACATTTTGGACAGGTGATTGTAGTTTTTAGACTTTACGATATGATTATGTAATGTGTCCTGTGTGGTGGTGTTGACAGCTTACATTTATCTCTTATCAGTGACCTACTTTATTATATGTTCTCTGTAACAATAACCGGGTCACTACGCGTGTCATATCAACGAAAAAATATTAACCCATGGATGCAATTTTTTTCAAGGAGAAATAACACGGTAGTCATGGTAACAACAATGTCCACCATGTTGTATAAACATTTAAAATATCAGTAATATCTTAGATTATATAAAGGCAAAAAGTGGAGCATAGAAATACGCCACATGACAACATTTCATTAAATTAATGCTGTCCAGCTACCACTTCCTTTGTTAATATTTAATGAAAATTGATAAAGCACAGCCATAGGACCACTTTTGTATCAATGGATCACTGATTTTTGTTAGATATATCTCTTTCAGTAAAATCAAGTTGTTCAAAAATATATTTAACGGTAACAGATCATTATGGGTCAAATTCAATGGTAATTATTACTTTTTCTTATGTTAAATTCAAGCGTATTTATTACTTTTACTTCTTTCTTCACTCTTTTTCCTTCTGCCTTTGTTCTGGTTTTATTTTTTCTAATGTCGGAAATAAAATTAATCAACAGACAATACCAAATGCAAATGTTGTTTATGTATAATCAGCATATGCACCATGTAGTATGTTCTTTAGAATTTGTCAAATAAATTTGTCTTCACAGATAAGTATAATATAAAAACGCGAGTGATATTATATTAATATCAATTGATATAAGTATTTATTTTATACTATGACGATAATATACCATGTACACTTCTTCAGAAATTGTTGTATACAAGAGGTTTTCACGACGAGCAGAAATAAATATTAATGTTGACAGAAATGCCACTTCTAAGCGTTAAACAAACATTAAAAACGCACACAGCCAGCGGAAGATTTGAAATATGGTCACATTTCAATTTTTATTTCAACCAACATGTTATCATTGTATTATACAGATATCCGCCTTTCTCGTGAAGTGATTTGATAAGATGATAATGCAACTTACTTCTCCATCAGCCAAGGAAGGTATTTCGACATCTGTACAATTATACTAGTTAACTGGTAACCATGTCTGAAATTAAGCATGGCACATACATAAAATGACGAGTTATAAAATTTCTTATATGCTGCAAATAGGCAAAGTAATGTTATTACGGGAGTGATATATACGTCAGAATATTTATAATAAGACGAATTTTATTAATAATTATTTTCTGTCATAAGACCTAGTCATATTCTGTTCTCTCATTTCAAAGTTATACTAGATTATTTGTGAAATATTCAAGGATGAAAAAGCATCACTTCACATTTACAGTGAAAGATTGAGTTTTAAATACCACCGTTAGAGATTAACCTGAATCACTCCATGTCGTTAGTTGTCAGTTCCCATTGCTTACATGGATGTGTGTCTATTTATTAAGTTTTGTGTGTATTGCCTTTTTCACAATTTACCTGTGCCGTGACGTATCAAGTAGCGAGAACTTCCTTTGATACATCTGACATGTATTGTCCCGTATTAAATTAAGCGAGCTCCTTTTGTCACGATTGTCCTGACTTGTCCTATTAGGAGTGTTTTGTGAGCTCCATTTGTCACGATTGTCCTTAATTGTCCTATTTGGAGTGTTTTGTGAGCAGCCCTTGTCACTATTGTCCTAAATAGCCCTATTAGGGTTGTTTTTGAGCTTCTTTTGTCGCAATTCGCTTGTCATGTTTTGTGTTAAATTTTGTGTATCTGTCTTTCACGCGATTCGCCTGATTTGTCAAATGTTTAGTCGCGTGAGCTCCCTTTGATGAAACTTACCTGTATTGACCCATGTTGAGTTTTGTGAGCTCCTTTAGAGACAGCTCTCTACAGCTAAATATAATGTCTTCGTAAATGGGATTCTGTACATAAAAGAATAGAGATAATTTGATTATGTAATTATACATGTACGATATTATTCGATAAATAAAATCAAAAATAGTAAATGCATATTAGAGGCCCCACACACCAGTTAAGTCCAGGTAAGGTCCAAGCTAATGCTAAAATAGGGGAAAATGAAAGGTCCACACAAGGCCAATCACTCCAAGCAAAGTCCAGGCTATTGTTAAGTAAGATGAAAGGTCCAGTCCTGGCAAAGTCCAGCTAAAGTAAGATGAAAGGACCAAACAAGGTCCAGTCATTCCAGGCAAGGTCAAGGCTAAGATGAATGGTCTTGTCTGGACTTTCCTTGGACTGACGGGCCCCCTAATATACATCTACTGAAAATGTCACAGACAACACTAATTTATAACAATCATGATACCATTATCGCAAGAATTTGGATTTCTACTGACTATCAAATGCGTGATACATGAATCTCCAGCGAGTGTAAAATGTGTTAAATTTTAATCTCTAGTGACTTTAAATTTTGCGATATGTTAACCTCTAATGACAAATGAGCTACTCTATTCTGCAATGAATACATTACCAATGTTACAAAAATACCTTTATCGATTAGTTATTTTCGCGCTGTATAATAATCTCATGCTAGCTACATGTAATATACAAACACTTTTATATATATCATATATATATATTTGCAGTATGTTAGATGTCACCATTACGTGAAATCATTTCTCCTTTTTAATGTTCAGCAATTAATCCTATCGAAATGAATTTCATCGAGCTACTGTACATTCCATTACAATCATTTCAATCGGGTATTTGTTTCTGTCTATGTAAATTCATTACGTAGAGGCACAGTACAGAACATCTAAAACAAACTTAAGATATTACAGTTGTTATAGTGTTAAATTTGCAATATTGTGATAAACTTAGTCACAATAACTACACATGTTACACTGTCAGCGACCTACCTCTATCTTTTCTTGGCTGAATATATAACCTGGCATCACAATGTGACCGGTTGTACTACCGAGATCTGAGAGAGCAAGTTTGGAGAAAAAATCCCACGATTCCTGTGACCATCGTCTATAGAAAAAATGACATCATTTTTACAATATTAATCTTTAAATACATCATCATCATCATCATCATCATCATCATCATCATCATTCAAATCAACAAATATTAGAATGAAAAATAATTCATCTCTCATTACAAAATATTGACAATATCCTTTACAAAAAGCTGGCAAATGTGTCACACACGTGACCGATGAGTTAAGTAGTTTAAAATATAAAAATGACCAAAATCTCTTTTATATATAGTGATGAAATGCCATATTTTTTTTATATATATAATCATTTAGAGTTAATAACTTCCTGCATCTTATCAACAAAATATTTATATATTTTTGCTATGTTGATGTTAAGAAAGATTTACAAAAGACACACAAGTAATTAGCACCTAGTCCCAAAGAATGAATTATACTGCATCATACAGCTGTTTCCTGAAAACTACCTAATCGTGTCAGCAGGTACTCCAGGTATAGCTTTCTCCGTAGGTCGGAATATACCGCCGGCTCCTATGCTGGTGGTGTCGGCTTCAAATTTGTCTGCGATGATTGTGACGTCACATCCCGGTATCAAGGCTTGGATGTTGACAGCAGTCGAAAGACCTACTACTCCTGCTCCTATCACAGCTATCTTAGGTAGCATTGTGTCTAGTATTCACGTCTGTAAAAGTGATAACACAATTGCAAATCAGACCAATTCCTCTTTTACTTAATATATGAAAACATTTTTCATTAATATCAGTTCTTGTGGTTCGGCACCCCCCTTTTATTTATTTTTTTTTTTTTTTTGCTTTGTGTATATTTATTAATTCAAACAGTTATGGCTTTATGTGATATTTCACGATCATCTACTTGTACATGTATACACAAGAATAAAAAAATATTTGTGCATAATGTAAAGAAATGTTTTTGAAATTATTTGTCATATCATATAGCGTGTATCAATCTTATGAATTAAATGTGTCACAGTGTTTTCAATGATCAAAATCAAATAAATATATTGAATTCAAAATGATTGTTGTCTTATAAAAAAAAAAAAAAAACTGGCAAAATTTCGACTTTCCTATGTGGTTCCTGACCAGTACTGTAATTTCGTGTTAGTAAGAGGATGTACAATAGTCAATATATAAAGAGTATGCTGTGTGTTAGCGAATGAGAGGAAAGGATAAGATATGTTGAAAAAAATCATAAATATGTGTTTTGGCGAGTGGAGAATATTGTTTTCAAGAGGTCTCACTGACAAATTCATTGTTTCATCGATTGCAATAGTTTTGATTTTTTCATGAACTCTTCACATAGAAACAAACTCAAATTTGTTCAGTTGGTAAAGATATTGAGCGACCATAATTTTTTCTCATATTCAATCACCCCTCTGAATTGTAATATTTAAATATTCTGTGGAACCCCAAGATAAGTCGTCGTTTCATTTAAAACACGAGAGCACGTGCTGAAATTTCCTAGTATTTTGTTATCCCTATACATGATGGTGTATAGATATTTAATTTTATTCAACTGCACGTTTACGGAACACGAGGTTATATGACAAAATGGTTACTACGTAAGTGTATTGGCAACACTGTATATTATATACATTAAAATGTCTACATTAGACATATGTTTACACACGTACGAAGTTTCATCAGCATGCCTATGCAACCAAAATTATCACAAAAAGTCACTAACAGTCAAGTTATTGATTTCTTAATGCATACAAACACTTACCGAAAAATTAACAAATAAGATAACATACAGTATACAGTATACAAACTAATACTCAAAAATAAAGATGGCTCATTATATTACCTTGCTAACTCGAAGAAATTTGGTAAAAAGATTAGATATGTATGAATATACGCGTGACAGAGCACGTAACACGTATAATATATAGCTTTCTATTGCCCGGACAGTGACATTGAACTAAAGGTCATTGGAATATGGCACGTACGTACTGTGATAGTGAAAGTAAACAAAAATCAATACTGACGATAGTCAATAATTTATACAACATCGTATATACTGTATTGATGTACATACAAAAATACATAAAAATGAACTGTATATCGTATTATCGAAAAAGGTTTTTAACAAGCGTTATGCACGAGGTTTTGGTCGATAGCTTATATAAATAGAACAAGTACAAATGTGTTATAAACAAAACAGCATTGTTTACATTGTGTGTAACAGCAATTCAATGATAGCTAGTGTAAACATACCTGTTTGCTATACGACTAGATCCTGATAACGTGCAGCTGCATCTCTCTTCCCTAGATATACGTGGAAAATGGCGACATAAACAAATAATTATAATATGCATGAGCTCTGAATCAGTCATGGGAGTAGTTTTGGTGAATGGCGTTCATGACGGATAACATATAACGGTCGTCTCGGCAGAAAAAAATTATCTCGGCAAAAAAATGGTCGTCTCGGCAGAAAAAAAGTTAGCTCTCGTTGCTTAGCCAATTAGGAATTAGCTACACATAAATTTCTATTCGTCTCTCTTATAAGCTTCTCTGAACGCATCGAAGTATCTAACAATCACAGTACTAGAGCAAAGATTTATATTTAAATTAAATTAATTCTGAATTTGTGGTTGTCAGCATACGGTTCTATATTTGACTCCCTGGTCTGCTACAAAGCGTTCGCCCCCCTCCTCTCTAGTTAGTGTATACAAAGCTAGATATTTGGACGTGAATTAATGTTTGTAATGTACATGTATTAACATTTTTCAAAAATATTTATGGATATTGATATTGGAAATAAATTTATCACACTTATGGAACATCTGGTGACAAGCTGTCGTTTTCATTTATTTTGTAAATATACGCCAAGTTCATCATGGTATACACGACTGTCTGGGTAATAAATTTCTTTTAAATTACATAATCGAAATTCGAAATATCCTTTAACAACTTAAAATGCATCTAATCTAACCTTGGTAAACATTTAACGTCTGTTTACAGGGGCGTAGCTAGCCCAGCAGAAATGTGTAAGCCCAGGCGAGGGGTCTTGGGGCAGCCTGGTGGGGGGATCGCGAAGCCCCCCGACGGAAAATGAATTTTATGATTTCAAAGATGTTTTGAATCGTTTTCTGAGACAGTTTTTTTTTATCTATTTAACAACAAACTTCAACCCCTGACGAAATAAAAGCCTTTATTTTATTTGAAAAACTTGTCGATCGACGCCCGTAATCCAGAAGCCTTCTTCGTTTTGAAAATTTGCACTTTAACAACATTATAATCGGAAACGTTGATATGATAGTAAGAAGTAGAACAATATGACGTGTATATATTTCCGAAAACCAATTCACTAGGCATTGCTATTCAACAATTTTCTATTTATATTTTTTTAATTAATTAAAAATATTAGATATTTATTTTCAACCTTAGCTTTGTAATTTTGTCCGACATACTCTATGCACGGATTTTTTTAATGAGTAAGCCCGGGCTTTTTCTTTCTACGGAAGCTACGCCCCTGGTTTAGAATAACGAATAGGCAAGAGTTAAACACATGTTTACCCGGGAGTCTATAATCAGCAAAGAGCGCTTTATTTGAGAGAGTTTACCAATATAATGATTCCTTAAAATCTATGTTTAATGTACTCGTGAAGATATTGTGATCTTGATCTTCCAAAACAAGCGATGCGTATAGGGTTATCGATCCCTTGGATTTTTTTTCAGGCTTCGTGATGTTAATTCCAGGTGATATTCACAAACCGTAATTTTGTAAATATAATTTTCGATAGATTTATTCCTGTAGACACAAAAATGCTTTTCTAGACATACTTCCTAACATAGTTGTAGAGGCATAATTTATACTTTTAGGTTAAGTATGATGCTTACTTAAAAATTTATTTTCACAGAATAATTTAACAAATAGCTTTAGTCCGTTGTTGACTACAACAATATTTACATTAAGAGTTTCTTCAAGCTTATTGTCCTAAACGACAGAAGCATCCTCGTTACTCCACAGATTATGCTGAGTGTTGCTCTCTGCACCCCAGAAACATTTCCTGGACAAATCGAATGTTTCGTGTGTGACCTTGTGGATAGAGCGATAATACTAGCTTGATCCTTTGACGTACATCAAACGAACCTCGAGGTCGCACAATACGATATGTTGTACTGGCTTTGAAGTTGGGTATCTCCAATTTGGTGAAACTTAAGTAAAATGAAGACAAAAAAATTTTAACGTGGGTACCCTTAAAAAGATGCAGGGAATAAGACCATGCGTTCCAGAAGGGTAATCTAATTATTCATCATCGACAGCAATAACCACGAAGCTTTGGTAATCCCCAGAAACGAATGTCATGTCCCAAATTGAGAACAAGGTACACAACAACGCAGCCATCACGCGTACTAACGAGCATCAAACACGCCCATAAGAAAATAGAATATTTAACAATCACATCAGCATGACGACCGTAAAATTTCTCTATGGTCTTCATCAACCTGCATTTCTGGAACCCTGTGTCGTTAGTTCATCTGCCAATAGTTCACATCTTCCACGAAAATCGCACATAATTTTTCATTTGAATGTATTCGAGCGAATTAAAACTTGCATGCAGATAGCGGCATAATAATTTTATGGTTTCGTTTTTTTTATTTGTTACAAGCAACGCACATCTTTATCTTAAACTTCAGGCAGTAAAAGTTATGATGTCACTGTTTTAGTTCCTTTTGTTATCATTTTGGTGTACAAGACCCTCTTTCCAAAATATGTTATATTAAAAAGACCTGAGAGGTATTGAGAACACTGACTGTATATTGTTACAGTGCTTTCTGTAGCCCGCCTGTTAAGAATTGTACACTGTCGTTCAAGGTTTCCATGGCACTATTTGTGCATGTGTGGTCTGTTGATGGGTGTATTCTGTTTTACTGTAATTCAATTAACTATTGTTCGAACATGAAACTTCAGTTTTTCATGTCGCTGGTTTTACTTACCGGTTAGAAAGTCATAGAAATGTAGTTTTGCATTTTTCTTAAGAAAAGTAGGCCCGTAGCACATTTTTCACAAGATCATCAATTATATTCTCTAGAATTCCTGAAACAGTTGATATATTTCAACAGTTACCTAATATTGCTATGTCTATGCTGTGTTACGTCAGCCGATTTATTGGGGAGTATTTCGTTATTGTTCCTATTCAAACTTTTATAATAGGTATAACACATTACTGAACAGCATTAGCCCGCTACCTATACATCTCGTCGTGTATATATTATAGATAAAATCTAAAGAAGCTCGGAAAATATATTTCGGGGCCTTGAATAAGTTGTACATTATTATATGTATATGTATCAGATTAAACAAAATATTACAAATGCATCAAGACAAAATTTGAAGACAACTGCAGCTATTTTTAACAGTCACCAACAGACCTTTATACCTGTATATACTAACATAGCCACTGATTTTGACCTAATTACCTAATATATCACTGTTGTTGTTATACAACCTAATGCAACAATAGGACTTCTGGCTACTTAAAGGACGAAACCCGATCTAATTAACTTGAAAGTCATGTCTGTATCTTTTATAAGATTGGGACGAAACCGAAGCATGCTCATCGCAGTGTTAATTGGACACAGTGCGTAATTGTCAACTTTCAATCTTGCTATCTCGAAATGTTTCAATTTGAATAAGGTGCATCAGTAATTCGGTCAGAGAAAAATAGCGAAAGGCATTGTCACTGCCACTACAAAATGTGTTGAATCCATTCAATTAGCAGTGATAGGTACACGTTGTGTGCGTGTACAACAAAATTAGATATAGGTTATGTGCCCTTTGACCACAAATAATCTTCCGTTCAAGAAAATGTTATTGAACTGGTACATGTACAGTTTATAAGTATACACGATTTTCTATCATAGAAAGGTTAAACAATTATTGATATTTACACAACTGATTTCATCTCCAAAATCATTAGCAAATTAATATTAGATGTGACACAAACTTAACTCCTCCAAACGGTTCAGAATTCAACAGGAACTTGTACATTAAAATTATCACTTCATAAAGTGTCTGATTAATGAATCATTGACAAATTGTGACAATTATTGACAGAATCCTCCTTAATCTGAACTAGATGATGTAATGGCTAAATATGAATAATTTATTTTATAGATTTTATGGTATAGAACTTGTGTCCTTGATTTTCAATTATGTTTGGGTAATATAACATGGACATGGTCAATACAATTCTAGCTATCTAAATACAAGACGTTATCAATTTACTTCCTCTAAAATGAAATTGACAAAGTCTTTGTGACGAATTTTGGTAAGCTCTTCAATAAATTCAGCCTCGTATGAAAACAAAAACAAGTCCGCGAAATGAGGCACACTGTTTGCTCCCAAATCTAATATGTCATTAGTATGTTGAAAGATCTTACCACCAAACTCACCATGATTCCTTCCTTCGTATGCTGAATTTCTTGTTTTCATCCGTCACCTGAATGATTGAGCTTGTCAGAGGATTTCCGTCTTTAATGATTGATCGTCTGATTCAACAATTTAGAAAAAAAAATACATTCATATTCATTATATTACATGTGTGAGATAATGGTATAATTTCAATAAATCTCTATCACCCAATCGTTCTTCGTTCTATAATTAGATAATCACCGGACCAAAAATGTTTGAATCGGTTGCGCGTTCACAAGATAGAAGGGAGGTAACTCGTCTTTTATTAGAACACATACATGTTGTAAATGTCCACACAAGGGATGGAGCTTATATAGACTTTAGCCTGTTGCCTTATACTCATTAAATTGTTTCGATAAAATCTTTGTGAAAAGAAAAAAAAAGAAAAAAATCAATCACCGAGATGCGCGGAGATATTCACACAAATCTTCTTTACCATATGGGCCAACATTGTTATCATAAACATTTTAATTGTGAAGTGTCTTAGTTTAAACATTAAGACATTAAACATGTTAATAGAGTTGCATCGGATTCTGACACTGAGATGATGTCAAACATTTCCCCCCAAAATTTGAACACCTTAAACAAACTACAGAGTTGCTGTTCAATGGTATTGATTGGTTACCAAATAAAATTGAATCTAAGTCAAAGAGTACTTGTAAATTTAAACCATTTACTCTCCGAGTCAAAGAAAGTACTGCAGAGGGTTTCCGCATGGTTCACTCGGAATAAGTCATAGTTTAAAGAGCTGCACTGGTGTCTCACATACCGTGATCCTAATGTAAATAATATCACGCTTTGCTTTTTTAATCATTAAAAAGTGACTTTGTTTATAAAGGATATAAAACATGTTTAGTCAACGGCTAATCTTCCACATGGTCCTCTGGTTAGTAAAATAATGTTAGTCAAAATCTACTACGTTACATACATGAATCAAGTTTAAACTACAAACTTCATATTAAACAACAATAGGATTTAAATTAAATTAAAAAATAAACAAATATCACAGACATTAATTAAAATTATCACAGAATGCACAATTACTCATGCAAAAATATTTCATCAATTAAATGGCTGGTGCCTAATATACATACATACTAATATAGCAAACAGATAAAAATTGACATAGTTATACGCTAATATAGCATAGTCTAAAATTTAGGTCAATATGGTGGTAAAAAAGTTGAATAAGAATGTCAAATATATCACAAAGAGATCTAAGACATAAATATAAGGTGTTGAACAAGTTTTCTTTTAAAAGTGGAAAAACAGTGGACATTCTTAATATCATTGGGTAAAATATTCCATTCTTTAATACTGTCAGTAAGAAATTGTTTAGAATAAAACACAGTTCTATGTTTTGGCACTTCGAAATTGTTCTCAGAAGCATACCTAGTGTTCCTGTTGTGACCATTCCTCACTAGTGATACATTGTTTGACAAATATTCTGGAACAGTCTGGTGATAACATTTAAATAACATACACATCCTTCTAAATTTGTAATACATATTAATTGGCATCCGTCTAAGTTGCTGAAACATTGCACTGGAGGGTGTGTCAAAAGGTACATTTAAAATAATACGGACTGCCTGCTTCTGAGCTTTGAGAAGCTTTCCCATTAAATTTTTGTTGCAACCTGACCACACAGTACTACAATATAAAAAGTGTGGAAAAACACAAGAATTAAAAAAGCTAAGTTTACCTTTATTAGGTAGATATGGACTAATGCGTCGTAATAAACCAAGTCTTTGTCTAATCCTGGATACAACAGATGCAATATGACTTGACCACGTTAGCCCATCATCAACGTTTACACCAAGTTGTTTATCATTACAAACCTGTTGCGTCTTCAATTACAAATTTAAATAAGAATGACATTAAATAATAGGTTTCAGAGATTAAAAAAACTAAGTGAAGCTAATGGCCTTATGGAATTGTAAAGAGAGCTCCAACAACGAAGCGTTTGTGGTAAGAAAGAGGAGCTGGTTGATTATAATCTAAAATATGCAGATCCAACACTATTAATACTTAACCTGACCACGCGGTTTTCAGGTTCATCTAGCAAATATATTTCACTCTAAAATCACATCTTCAATTTTATATTTAGATGCGATGCTCTGTTAGAATAGTATGTGCCTTCTAAGACCTGAAATGTAGACTACACATATCTGTGAAGAAAAAAATGGCAATGTATTTTTAACATATGGCTGGTCACGCACAGTGAGACATGAATATACAGGATGTGTTATATTGTTTAACGGGACTGAGGTCCGGTAGATCAGAAACGTACAGTGTATATAAACAAACACATATGTGAAAACAAAAATAAGAACGCAATTAAGTTTGCTTTGTGTCTATTTAAAAAACAACAACACACTTTGTGTGGCTGTATATGTGACGTAAGAGAGACCTGAGCATTTTCTATATTTACATCGTAATTCGTGACGAGAGGGCGTGACCTATGAGTAAACCGGTAAACCTTCTCTTTGTATTCAGCTCGCCATGTTCGTTAAAACTCAGTCAAGGACACGAGATTGATTATAAAAACGAACTTTGTTAATTAAATGAAATCAAAAGAAAGGATAGGGTTTAAAAATCGCCGTTGTGTTGAAATGATGGCGGGAAATTGCCAATCGTAACGAGTCCACGTGGGATTGTTATTGTTGCTAAAAATAGCGTGTAAAAAATCAATCTCTCGCGCGCCATACGTCACTTCCTCACAAAACATGGCGACCTGAGGTTCGCAGGACAGCTTCCGTGTTGTGACTTTTGCACTTTAAGTGTTGCAATCCTCACCAGATTCGTCTGGCTTGGGGATTATTTTTGTGATTGATAGACACTAACGTCAGTTTGTCAAAATGGCATCCATCAACAATGTGCCTCGTGATATACAAGGTAAAAGTGACACGCCTACTAACTGATGAAGGGTTCGGTGGAAACTCCAAACCACACTTCCGTGATGTTTACATCAATATTTGCGTCTCAATTATTTGATATTAGATGTTTTTGACTTTATTTATGTTTAATACTTTGATTTTTAAATATCTGTTTACATAGTTATGAAGTCGATATTCGTGTAAATTATAAGACATAATATTGCTACTTTCAGTTCGGGGAACTCGGTGATGGTGAACCGTGTCCGCATTCAAGCATGGATGACACATTGTCATTAATTGCCTGTTTTTGTCGTTAAGCCTAGATTTGCCCATATGGCATCGTAAACCAATAGATTAATTAATTAACAGATATATAGTGTACGAATAGGTTTGTTCAATGGAGAAGAGCCTGGGGATATATCAATAAATACATCTTTTCTGGTAATCATCTTTGCTAAGTAAAAGTTATTGTGTACTCATTTATTTATGAAAGTCAGACTTTTATTATCTATGTGAATTATACATTTAGGAAATGTTTGAATTTATTTTGTAACAAACAGCAGATTGAGATCATATAAATGGTTTTAATTTGGAAATGTGAATTATGAAAAACACCCTGCTAGGGTTTGAAGTAGAGGCCATTTGGTTGCTAGCTGTCAGACAGTCTACCACTTGACTAAAAGAGAAATTTCCTCTCTTAATCTGTATACTCCTCCCATCTCCTCAAAGCCTTTGACCCAACGAACAACAGTCCAGGTTTGGTATCTCCAAGAAAGTAACCCAATCCCTTTATAGCTCTTACCTTTGGTACTCTCTGGTCTCTTCCTTGCTGTAAAACCTCTTGCATGCTTTCATCCAGGCCAACAACAGTGATTCATAGAAGCTCAAAACTTGTTTTGCAATTGTTGTAAGATAAATGAAGTTTATATATATAATGTACATATATTTTAAGTATTAACAATGGTTAATTAAAGACAGTATACTTTATTTTTTTGAAGTGATTACAAAACAGTCTTTTTTATCATTTATTAAACATTTGTGTTGGCCTGGATGGAAGAGTTTTAGGAGTCTTGATTTAATGTGGGAGGGAATTAAATAGAGTCCCTAGGAAACCCTACATGCTAAGGGAGGAGATCCTAAACCCTTTCACATTCCCCAGCCACATTTTAATCCAGTAGTACTAGTTAGACAAGAGTATAACTACTGTGCTAGCTGACCACTCATGGTTTATTGGTATAGGCCTCCATGCTTTAAATGCCAAAATGTCTTTGTCAGAAAACTTTTAATATAAGCAAAATGATTGGTTACAGTTTTTGTTTTTCATTTCAGATAGCATACGTGAAATTCTTGGGAAGAGGGTCAAGTTGTTCATTAAGCGTATGGTTAAGCAAGAGACAAAACCTGAGAAATGGGAACAAAGAGTATTGGTTAGTATATAAGCTGAATGTGCAAGCTTTTCCTGTGTGTTTGTAGTCGCGTTCTTATTTTATGACATTGTGTGTAAAAAAGTCAGCAGCTGCTTAAGTAAAATCATGTCTTTCTTGTGGTAGTTGTTGTAGAGATTATTCCGGGACAGCACATGATGCATACTGTAACTCCCAATGGGTGTGGGCACATGGAAATTAGCGGCCATTTATAACTCTCTGCTTTTCCATGTGCAAACTGTATGTAAATTTGTATACACTAAAGTTTGAATATTTGAATGCATCTTATTACATTCACTGACTTAAATTGTGAAAAGACACATGACATACCTATCAGTTGACAGTTGGACAGAATGTATAGGTGTATACTGGTGATGACATGTAGGGAATGTTGATAATGTACAGGTGTACTGGTACTGACAGGTGTATAAAATGTACAGGTGTACTTGTACTGACAGGTGTACTGGTACTGACAGGTATATATAATGTACAGGTGTACTGGTACTGACAGGTGGACTGGTACTGACAGGTATATATAATGTACAGGTGTACTGGTACTGACAGGTGTATAAAATGTACATGTGTACTGGTACTGATAGGTGTATAGAATGTACAGGTGTACTGGTACTGACAGGTGTATAGAATGTACAGGTGTACTGGTACTGACAGGTGGACTGGTACTGACATGTGTACTGGTACTGACAGATGTATAAAATGTGCAGGTGTACTGGTAATGACAGGTGTATAGAATGTACATGTGTACTGGTACTGACAGGCGTACTGGTACTGACCGGTGTATAAAATGTACAGGTGTACTGGTTCTGATAGGTGTACAGGTACTGACAGGTGTATAGAATGTACAGGTGTACTGGTACTGACAGGTATATAAAATGTACAGGTGTACAGGTGTTTACAGGTGTACAGAATGTACAGGTGTACTAATACTGACAGGTGTTTAGAATATACAGGTGTACTGGTACTGACAGGTGTATAGAATGTAAAGGTGTACTGGTACTGACAGGTGTATAGAATGTACAGGTGTACTGGTACTGACAGGTGTATAGATTGTTCAGGTGTACTGGTTGTGACAGGTGTATAGAATGTACATGTGTACTGGTACTGACAGGTATATATATTGTACAGGTGTACTGGTACTGACAGGTGTATAGAATGTACAGGTGTACTGGTACTGACAGGTGTACTGGTACTGACAAATGGACTGGTACTGACAGGTGTATAGAATGTACAGGTATACTGGTACTGACAGGTCTGACAGGTGTACTGGTACTGACAGGTGTACTGGTACTGACAAGTGGACTGGTACTGACAGGTGTATAGAATGTACAGGTATACTGGTACTGACAGGTCTGACAGGTATACTGGTACTGACAGGTATATAGAATATACAGGTGTACTAGTACTGACAGGTGTATAGAATGTACAGGTGTACTGGTACTGACAGGTGTATAAAATGTACAGGTGTACTGGTACTGACAGGTGGGCTGGTACTGACAGGTGGACTGGTACTGACAGGCGTACTGGTACTGACAGGTATATAGAATGTACAGGTGTACTGATACTTACAGGTGTACTGGTACTGACAAGTGTATAGAATGTACAGGTGTACAGGTACTGACAGGTGTATAAAATGTACAGGTGTACTGGTACTGACAGGTGTATAGAATGTACAGGTGTACAGGTACTGACAGGTGTACTGGTACTGACAGGTGTATAGAATGTACAGGTGTACAGGTACTGACAGGTGTACTGGTACTGACAGATGGACTGGTACTGACATGTGTACTGGTACTGACAGATGTATAAAATGTGCAGGTGTACTGGTAATGACAGGTGTATAGAATGTACATGTGTACTGGTACTGACAGGCGTGGTACTGGTACAGGTGACTGGTACTGGGCGTACTGGTACTGACCGGTGTATAAAATGTACAGGTGTACTGGTTCTGATAGGTGTACAGGTACTGACAGGTGTATAGAATGTACAGGTGTACTGGTACTGACAGGTATAAAAAATGTACAGGTGTACAGGTGTTTACAGGTGTACAGAATGTACAGGTGTACTAATACTGACAGGTGTTTAGAATATACAGGTGTACTGGTACTGACAGGTGTACTGGTACTGACAGGTGTATAGAATGTACTGGTAAGGTGTACTGGTACAGGTGTACTGGTACTGACAGGTGTATAGATTGTACAGGTGTACTGGTTGTGACAGGTGTATAGAATGTACATGTGTACTGGTACTGACAGGTATATATATTGTACAGGTGTACTGGTACTGACAGGTGTATAAAATGTACAGGTGTACTGGTACTGACAGATGTATAGAATGTACAGGTGTACTGGTACTGACAGGTGTATAGAATGTACAGGTGTACTGGTACTGACAGGTGGACTGGTACTGACAGGTGTACTGGTACTGACAGGTGTATAGAATGTACAGGTGTACTGGTAATGACAGGTGTACTGGTACTGACAGGCATACTGGTACTGACAGGTGTATATAATGTACAGGTGTACTGTTACTGACAGGTGTACAGGTACTGACAGGTGTATAGAATGTACAAATGTACTGGTACTGACAGGTGTATAAAATGTACAGGTGTACTGGTACTGACAGGTTGACTGGTACTGACAGGTAACTGGTACACAGGTATATAGAATGTACAGGTGTACAGACAGGTGTACTGGTACTGACAGGTGTATAAAATGTACAGGTGTACTTGTACTGACAGGTGTATAAAATGTACAGGTGTACTGGTACTGATAGGTGTATAGAATGTACAGGTGTACTGGTACTGACAGGTGTACTGGTACTGACAAGTGGACTGGTACTGACAGGTGTATAGAATGTACAGGTATACTGGTACTGACAGGTCTGACAGGTGTACTGGTACTGACAGGTATATAAAATGTACAGGTGTACAGGTGTTTACAGGTGTACAGAATGTACAGGTGTACTAATACTGACAGGTGTTTAGAATATACAGGTGTACTGGTACTGACAGGTGTATAGAATGTAAAGGTGTACTGGTACTGACAGGTGTATAGAATGTACAGGTGTACTGGTACTGACAGGTGTATAGATTGTTCAGGTGTACTGGTAGTGACAGGTGTATAGAATGTACATGTGCACTGGTACTGACAGGTATATATATTGTACAGGTGTACTGGTACTGACAGGTGTATAAAATGTACAGGTGTACTGGTACTGACAGATAGAATGTACAGGTGTACTGGTGTACTGTAATGACAGGTGACAGGTGTATAGAATGTACAGGTGTACTGGTACTGACAGGTGGACTGGTACTGACAGGTGTATAGAATGTACAGGTGTACTGTTACTGACAGGTGTACAGGTACTGACAGGTGTACAGGTACTGACAGGTGTATAGAATGTACAAATGTACTGGTACTGACAGGTGTATAAAATGTACAGGTGTACTGGTACTGACAGGTTGACTGGTACTGACAGGTGAACTGGTACTGACAGGTATATAGAATGTACAGGTGTACTGGTACTGACAGGTGTACTGGTACTGACAGGTGTATAAAATGTACAGGTGTACTTGTACTGACAGGTGTATAAAATGTACAGGTGTACTGGTACTGATAGGTGTATAGAATGTACAGGTGTACTGGTACTGACAGGTGTACTGGTACTGATAAGTGGACTGGTACTGACAGGTGTATAGAATGTACAGGTGTACAGGTACTGACAGGTGTACTGGTACTGACAGGTGTATAGAATGTACAGGTGTACAGGTACTGACAGGTGTACTGGTACTGACAGATGGACTGGTACTGACATGTGTACTGGTACTGACAGATGTATAAAATGTGCAGGTGTACTGGTAATGACAGGTGTATAGAATGTACATGTGTACTGGTACTGACAGGCGTACTGGTATATGTATAAAATGTACAGGTGTACTGGTTCTGATAGGTGTACAGGTACTGACAGGTGTATAGAATGTACAGGTGTACTGGTACTGAAAGGTATATAAAATGTACAGGTGTACAGGTGTTTACAGGTGTACAGAATGTACAGGTGTACTAATACTGACAGGTGTTTAGAATATACAGGTGTACTGGTACTGACAGGTGTATAGAATGTAAAGGTGTACTGGTACTGACAGGTGTATAGAATGTACAGGTGTACTGGTACTGACAGGTGTATAGATTGTTCAGGTGTACTGGTTGTGACAGGTGTATAGAATGTACATGTGTACTGGTACTGACAGGTATATATATTGTACAGGTGTACTGGTACTGACAGGTGTATAAAATGTACAGGTGTACTGGTACTGACAGATGTATAGAATGTACAGGTGTACTGGTACTGACAGGTGTATAGAATGTACAGGTGTACTGGTACTGACAGGTGGACTGGTACTGACAGGTGTACTGGTACTGACAGGTGTATAGAATGTACAGGTGTACTGGTAATGACAGGTGTACTGGTACTGACAGGCATACTGGTACTATATAATGTACAGGTGTACTGTTACTGACAGGTGTACAGGTACTGACAGGTGTATAGAATGTACAAATGTACTGGTACTGACAGGTGTATAAAATGTACAGGTGTACTGGTACTGACAGGCGTACTGGTACTGACAGGTATATAGAATGTACAGGTGTACTGATACTTACAGGTGTACTGGTACTGACAAGTGTATAGAATGTACAGGTGTACAGGTACTGACAGGTGTATAAAATGTACAGGTGTACTGGTACTGACAGGTGTATAGAATGTACAGGTGTACAGGTACTGACAGGTGTACTGGTACTGACAGGTGTATAACAATATCTTGCCTGTAATATATAATTGAAGTTCAGAGCATGGTCAAGTCAACTCACAAGAAGCCAATTATAGTGCACTGAGACAATAGATATATGATCACAATTAATGAATAGGATGGATTTGGAATGAAACACATGTCTGTTTTTCTGCCTAATTGTATAGCAATCACATCCTTC